GGCGGGGGATGTGTTTTCCCCTGTGAACAGACTGGTTTGAGCAAGAAGTGAACGAGGTGTCTTTACCTTGCAGATTGCAGATTGTGAGAAGAGGAATGCCAAATCTCGTGAAAGCCGTAGCTTTTATATTTTTAAGCGATACTTGAAAAAGATTTTAAATGAGGCTGGAAAACTTGGCCTTGTAAGTATCTGAACAGTCATTAAAAATAATTAGAATTCATGTTACTACTGTGTGTTTTTCGCAGTTAGCAAATATTGGTGACTTATTCTGGCATACTTTAAATTAGAATGAAGGGAACTGAATGGCAGAGGAAAAAACGGTAGAAGAGTGTGGATGCAGTACTGCTGTTAGTGGTGTTTGCTCAGGAGAGGCAGTTGCTCCTGGTCTGTAAAGCCTCCAGAGGAAGACTGTGTGCGTTCAGAGTGTGTATCCACATACCTGTTGCTGGGACACAGCCGTAGTAATACCCTGTGCAGTTCCTGTTAACAGCTGTAAAACTTGAAGAGCCGGATTTTGTTCGTTTGCTGTAGACCTTTTAGACCTTTGTTTTACTCTGCCATGCACAGTAGCTTATCAGGGTTTGCATATGAGCATCACCTTATTACTTTTCTTTATTGACTTTGGAGACTGTTTTTCTATTCAGAGGTAGAGGGATAAATTTTTAGCAGTAGGCGAAATTAATATTTAACAAAGAACATTATACTTAGCAATGTAAAATTTCTCATTTTGGTATTTAATAGCTTCTATCTGTATTACCCAGCCAGGATAGGGGCACACATAGCGCATTTGTAATTATTACTTGTTAATGAGAAGTGGTTCTAAAATTGTAATAGCGGGTGAGATAACTCACTTCATTGTTTAGGGTTTTGCTGTAGAACTGAAAGAGGACAAACCAGCTGAACTCGTGTTTTATATCACAGAATCACCCTCTGTAGTTTAGAAGAATGAACAAAAAGTTTGTAGCATCACAGTGTGCTCCCTGTCCCATCCTGCAGTCTGGAAGGTGCTGGTACAGAAGGAGGGTACATGGTCAGGTTTTTGCCTAGGGATACAGGTTTTCGTATGTACTCCCATTTCCAAATAAGCAGCTTTTAACCATTGTTCTGCTTTGCTTTTCCTTCAGCCTGAGGAGGACGTGGGCCGCGTCCATTACGATGCCGAGATCATCCTTACAAAGCAGACGTACTTGGAGATCCTCCGGTTTCTCAATGAGGAAACTTGGCAGTCAGGTGCCGTGGATGATGCACTTAGTGATATTTTGGTCAATTTTAAGCACCATGATTACGAAGCTTGGCACTGGAGATTTGAAGACACTTTTGGAATAGATCTGTATAATGTGTTTCTGGTAAGAGAAGGAGAAGGGGTTTTGTTAGTTTTTAATTGCTGTTTTCTCCCGTTTCTTTGTGCAAGTCTGGTCAATGAGCGTTGCCATCTTAACTCCACACCTAAAGCAGCTCCTTCCGTCGTGCTCACAGCCAGTCACTCTTTTTGTTTCGTGGTTGCTGAAGGTAGAGGCGATGCATTCGCTTGGAGTAAGAATTCAAGTTTGTTATTCCTGTAGTCATCTTTTCCTATTGTAGCTCTGTGTTTTTTTTCTGGTACGCTTGCTTTTTTCTCTTCCTGTCTTTCATACCTGTGTTGGTGACTCATCAGACTGTAGTTCTTGCTTATCGCTGACACTGACAACTCGTGCGTTGTAAGTTTTCCAGTTTTGTGTCTTGTTCAAATAGCTGCTGATGCTGTTGGCTTCTGCAGGAGTTGGGATGTATTTATATTGAGACGAGGATATATTTGAGGTCTCATAGGTCAGAGGTTTTTGTGAGTTTTGCTGAAAAAAATTGTATAGTGTTGGAGAGGAGGAGAGCACGACTGGGTGAAAATGTCATATTCCCTAAAATGGAATTGCACAGCGCTAAGCTGGAGCTCTCTGAATAAATCTTCACAATTCAGAACGTGGTAACAGTTTATGCTGACCTGATCTCCAGAGTCGCCTCTAGTTATGAGGGAGTCTGTGGAAGCCAGATGGAGAAAGGAAGCTGTCAGTAGCCTGGCCTCGCTGGTCGGGGTCCTCGGATGGCAAGAGACTGTGAAGTGCTTCCCTGAAGCGTTGCTGCTGTCGGCCAGGCAGTAGCCGTGCCTCCTCACCAAACTGCAGGAGCTGGCAGCAGCGGTTCTGTGGTTCACGGCAGCCGCGTACCGCTCAGGCACTGCATTACACCGGGTTTGTAATGCTGAAGTACGGCAGGTAGCGTGATACGTGTCGTAGGAAGAAATAACTGAATATCACGAGAGAGAAAGGGGCAGCTGCAGCGTGAGGCTGTGATGGGAATGCCCGCTAGTGACGCCAGGAAAAACAACAGTTGGAAGCTCCTTCACGTGTGCTGGCAGTAAGCTTGGAAAATTCCAAATCTGCATCATAATTTTTTCCCATTTTCTTTTTCAGATACTCCTTTGCTTAGTGTGCGTTGTCGTTGTAATAGCCACAGAGCTCTGGACACGTATTCATTGGTTTGTTCAGCTAAAACGTGTTTTGTTGATAAGTTTTCTCATCAGTTTTGCATGGAATTGGCTTTACTTGTATAAGGTAAGTTGTTCTGAAATCTTCATGGCTTTTAGGCTTAAAAGTTCTACAGTTACAGACTCGTAGAATCACGGAATAATTCAGGCTGGAAAAGACCTTTGAGATCAATGAGTCCCCCCGCAAACCTAGCGCTGCGTGAGGGAGGTGAGTTTAGTTCCCTTCGCTACTTTAGATAAAGCAGTAACTGACCACAAGAGAAATAAAGGGAGGAACGTTTTATTTCGCCCGTGGGCAGGTGCGTTAGTCTGAAAGATCAACAGCAGCTCTGTTAGCCTGCCGCAGAGGCGCACGCGCCTCGCTCTGGGGGCAAGACAGACGTGAGCTCTGCCTAAAGCAGCTCGGCAGAAAAGTCTTGTGAAAATGAATCGGGGGGAGTTTTTTCTTTTCTGACGTTTCCCTCGTTGCAACTGTGCTTCCTGTGCAAGGGACCAGCGACAAATGCTTCGTTAACGGTGACGAAGTAGCTGACTGGGCAGTGGTGCTGGTTTTAACGAGGAGGAGTTTATGCTACTAGGTCATAGCTGAGCCACAAAGTCTGGCTCCTCGCATCTCGTCACCAGCACTGAACCGCAGCCTGTCGGAGCCAGGAGCAGCGGGGCGCCAGAGGGCAGGGCGGCTCCTGAGCGCGAGCGGGCTGCCGGGCGGAGGGCTTGGATTGGGGCAGTGAAGGATGTCAGGTTTTCACCAGATCCTTTGACTTAATTTGTTCTGTCTGATGGTCAGGTGCAAACTGTAGGGCAAAATTACAGGGAGTACGGGTATTTGTTAATGCGGGTATTTGTTAATGGCAATTACTTAAAACGTAAAAGAGAACGTCCTGATGTTTTGATTGACAGTTGCATGGCAGCCATCTCTGGTTTGAATCCAGAAACATTTTAAGGAAACACGATGTCACCAGATTACTTTTGCCCTTGTATCTTTGAATATGGAGTTTGCTCTTTTGGTAGTTCAGGCTCCATTTGGAGAACAACTCAGAGGTGGCCACCGTGGTAGTTTTTATCCATTCCCAGGAAGTACTTAGGATTTAACTCTGTTAAAATGTTTAGGCAGCTGGCTTCTGGTAACCCAGGTGTACCCGGCTCACTGTCCCAAACCGGCTAAGAGCAAACACCGCTGCCTCGGTGCGGTGCTGCGTGCGCGCAGGTGCTCTGCGCCCCGCGCCACCCCGTTCTGTGTTTCACAAGCGCTCCCCGTTCTCTGCAGCTGGCCTTCGCGCAGCATCAGGCAGAAATTGCGAAAATGGGGCAGTTTGATAACGTCTGTGCTGAGAAGTTGGACTGGGGGGGAAGTCTTATCGGTAAGTACTGGCTTCATTATTTGTTAATAGCGTCGAAGACCACAAAATACTCAGTATCCGAGAACACTCTATAATTTCTTCATGAGCAGTACGTGGCATTTTCTTCAGCAATACATGATTATGTGGTTTTTACCATTTTCCCATTCCACCAGACTTTCTTTTCTAGGCCTTTGGTCACAAAACTGTGCCTAGAGCATGTCGTGCTGTTACTTCTTTTCCTTGTAACCCACCCGGCCTGTGTTTCCCCAGCTCCCCTCCCCCAGTACCATTCAGTGCCATTTCTTGAAGGTAGGAGGGCAGAATTCAAGCAAAAGATTTATGTTTTTTCACCTGCCAGGCCTGCAGGTACAGGGGACTTCAGAAATGAGATCTGTAACTACTTGCTCTAGTGCTGCTATTCCACAGAGGAAGCTGAATTTTTTTATTAGCCGTTGTTTGTTACCCAGCGCTATAGCCGGTAGATCAGATTAATGATGGCAACTCCAAGCGAGTGCTTGGACTTCCCTTTAGAATTTATTGACTGTCATTGCTGTGTTTATGTCAAATTTCAGTGGTTTATGTTCTGACTCCAATAAAATCAAACTACAGGAGCACCGAGGTCATAAATTCTGTGTTTATAACTTAGAAGCTCCCTTAAGGAGTAACTTTCTGCTTAGAACTGAAATAGTCCCTTGAAATCTAGCAAGCAAAACACTCGTTTTGAATCTACTTGCAGCCTGGCAGATGAGTAACGACACTCAGCGTTACCTCTGTTTCAGTAGCTGTGGACAAAATGTGGTGGGTAATAGTTCTCACAGACCAGACTTGTTTTTCTTCTGAGGCTTCTAGGGACCAAGTCCATCTAACAAAGAACTTTCATGACTAAACATGGGAAAACCTCCGTTTTTTCTCTTTCTTTCTGGCCTTCCCTCTCCTCCCTGCATCCCCTTGACTGGATAGACTACACTGCCAAGCTAATCTCAGATTTCTAAAAATGAATCTGAACTTTGAACCGTACCTAGAAGGGTTCTCTCCCACCTGTAACGGAGGTGCTGCTTTCTGTATTGCTGCTGTGTCGTAAAACGCCTTGTCAAAAAGCAGCGAACAGCAGGTCTCTGCTTTGCCTGCAGAGTGGCTCAGAAGTAAATGGACGTTTCAGGACGACCCCTGTCAGAAGTACTATGAAACTCTGCTCGTAAACCCCGTCCTGCTGGTTCCACCGACCAAGGTACGTGCCAGGCCTAAAGAGACTGTTCGTGTTTATGTCTGTCATCAGTGACGTCACTGGTTTTCTGTTGGTGTTTTTCTAGGCATTGGCAATTACTTTCACCAACTTTGTGACTGAGCCTTTGAAGCACGTAGGACAAGGGATTGGCGAATTCATCAAAGCACTTATGAAGGAGATCCCGTTCATTCTGCAGGTTCCAGTGCTAGTTACGATGGCTCTGGCTGTCCTGGTTTGTATACGTTTGTCTTATATTTCAAAGCTCCGTTTTATTTCTTATCTATTAAACTTACTGATATTTAGGTATTATTATCTGTTACAGTATTTATTTCTTACTTGTACTGCTAACAGCTTTCTTAGCATGGATTAAATAATTTCTACAAGGGGATTTTTTTCTTGACAAAATCTTTCTAGCAGTTGGTTTAGCAATTAAACAACAGGTACGTTTATATTTAAACCACATCCCTCCCCAAGTGGGATAAAATAGCATTAAACCACTTAAAATCTTGGACTCTATGACGATTTATTGCAGCTTCGTTCCCATTTCTTTTTTGTGCCACTACACAGTGACACATATAATTGGCATTTTGTGCACGCAGGCATTGAGTTGGAGCCTTCAGCACCTTTACTGTAGCTCTTCTGATCACCTGAGCTTCTCTTTCCGCGTTTTTCAGATATGTGACTTTGAATTCTGTGTGAAAACTGCAAGGTGAAAATATTTGGTGTTTTGTTCTTCTGCCCGCCC